ACACTGGATGATTTATTATAGCAAACTTATACTGTAATGGAGTTGATGAGAGAATTTGAAATTCTAACTAAAGATGGTAGCTTGGCTCACAATAAATCTTGTGTCATCTAGGAGTCAAAGAGAACATAAATGAGGAAGAGCAGGTCACTTGAGGGAAAGAAATGAATCTTTATAACACGATGTTCCTTTAATTCATGAGGTTCTTAAGAAGTTCTGTTTTACATAGAACCAGCCCCCCACCACACACACACACCTCCAAATATGAATTGATTTTATAGCAAATCAGTCTTTTAAACTAATGCCATGATGACACTATACCTTTAAAAGTGCCAGGGGATATGGGCGGTTAACTTTAACTCATGAGATAATATGAAATCGCCTGTCTTTCTCCTCTCTAACCTCCCACTTGTTACTTCCTTTTGCATTCCCAACCCCCAGCCTACTTACTCTTCAACACTGGCTATAGGGTAGAATTCAAAGCAAGGATTTAGTGGGAAAGGAAACTTTTTCTGAAATCTCTGAGCCTAGAGTTTTCTGGGACTAGACAGGTCATACCTTCTCAGTTGGTCCTGAGAACAGCTCTTAATTTAGGAATACAGGTAACTTGATATTAGACCATGGACTTTGGAGTCAGGCAGACCTAGATCTGAACACCAGTTCTTCCACTTCCCAGCTGTATAACTAAGGACAATGTCAGAAGGTTCTCTAAAGATTAAGTATGAATCAATATAAGTATATAATAAATGGTAGTTACTGTTAATACCACTACGTCAGACCAGCTGTCTCTAATCCTTCATGACGTGATCTATTGGAAGTATCTCCTCAAAGTTTGTGATTGCTGTATGTTTGCAAAGAAAATCTTCACTGCATATTTTTACCCCTATAATCAAGAGAATAGTTAGAGGCATTTGCAGTTATGAAGCTTCTACTTTCACCTGAATTTTTTCTCTTTTTCTCTACTTTTGTTGATTCAGCGAATTCACCATCCAGGTGAACTGAAAAGGAGCTGAACTCTTTGGCCCAGTTTTTATCTATAAAAGCCTGCCCTGACTTCCAACCAGCTTTTTACTCTAGGGCAGAGCTGAGGATGGTGGCTTGTTCTTATAAAATAAGGTTTTTTGAAATACAGCTACAACCACTCATTTACATATTGTCTTTGGTTGCTTTGTCATTACAACAGCAGTGTTGAGTAGTAGTGACAGAGACAAGATGACTGCCAAGTCTAACTCTTTCAGAAAAAGTGTGCTGAGCTCTGACTTAGGAGAACGGTGCCTCTTAGTTTGAGGGAGCCATAATCAGAGCAAAGGGGGATGGAATGGCAAAGAAATTTATCTACTTTGTCTTTGCCTGGCTTATTATTTAATGCCCAGTTGGGTATGGTCAGAAACATTTTTCACTGTTCGTTGGCTCATAATGCGAACTTAGGAAGAAGATAATCCGTTGGATCATATTAGCAACCCATAATGCTTAAAAAAAACCAAATATTTAGGTAATGAGATTGTGAGTGGTAGTGTTATTTTTAATTTCATAAAGGTTTTAAAACTGTTCATTAACTAGTAAGGTACTAATGAGCTACAGGTTCTCGTTTGTTTTCATTGTAGTATTTAGGATTTCACTGAAAGTTCAAAGTAGAGGATTTCAGGTAATAAAATATTTTTAGGGGCAACTTAAAAATTTATTAGGATCATCAGCAAAGGACTGTTGTGAATTATTAGCTTTTAGACTTGGTACCTTTTTCTCCTTACAGGGGATATGAAAGGTGAGGTCTATCCATTTGGCATAGTTGGAATGGCCAACAAAGGGGATTGCCTACAGAAAGGGGAGAGTGTCAAGTTCCAATTGTGTGTCCTGGGCCAGAATGCACAGACTATGGCCTACAATATCACACCCCTACGTAGGGCCACAGTGGAATGTGTGAAAGATCAGGTAAGTGGTAGTATCTCTGGATCAGAATTTGGTCTTCTTAATGAGTCAGTAACTAAACTGTAACCAAAACTTTGAAATTTTTTCAGCCAAGGCAGAACCATCAACATTCATTTGGTTTTTATTTCACCCCTTTTTCAATTTTTGAGGTAGTTTATAAAAATATAAAGGAAACCACATGAAAAGAAAAAAATGGTGATATTAGCAAAAAAAAAAAAAATGTGTTTAATAATGTTACATGATGGGGAAAATGGAATGAATGACATTTCCAGAGTAGAAAGCCTATAAGATTTTGTACACTTTAGCTCAGAGCTTCTTTTGCATACTGTGTAAAGAAGCCATGTGTAGAAGGGTCGATAAAATATTAGCAAACAAAACTATTGCTGATACTGAGATTTCTGCGAGTCCTCAGAGAAGACTTTTTTAAATACCAATACTGTGAATAAACCAGTTTGTATGGCTATTTCTTGTACTACCATAACCCAGCTTAATTCCAGAAGGAATCAGACTAATATATACATTCATATAACAGCTCCCTAATGATTCTGCATAATTCAAAAACTTAGCTTATATATGAAGGCACAAGGCAACTTTATTTGCTTTAGTCAGGCTGTTATAGTCAGCTTCCGTGATTTCAGAGCTCTTTCTTCCCTGACAGGTTTTGCAGACTCCCATTCTGTTACATCCTAGCATAGGCAGCTGGACTGGAGCATTGGCATCAGTACCATGTTTTATAAACCCCTTCTAGCTACGGCCACACATTGTGCTTCATTCGAAGTGAGGTGCTCTCTTCCCCCTGTGGTATGTTCTTTTTTTTAGTTACTGTTTTCTTTTAAAAATTTCAGTTTGGCTTCATTAACTATGAAGTAGGAGATAGCAAGAAGCTCTTTTTCCATGTGAAAGAAGTTCAGGATGGCATTGAGCTACAGGCCGGAGATGAGGTGGAATTCTCAGTGATTCTTAATCAGCGCACTGGCAAGTGCAGTGCTTGTAATGTTTGGCGAGTCTGGTGAGTTCAATTAGTAATCTCCCTGGACTATCTCTTAATCTTTGCTTTATCACATTTTTTCACTTTCCATCTCTGCTTTTTTCTATTCTGCCACTTTCTGGTTATTTCTTGATACTTCATATGCCTTTTTTACCTCTAGTCTTTATTGTCTAAATTTTTAGTCTCATACATCTGGCCCAGTGAAATATTTATTGGGCACTTGCTGTATGATAGATCTTAAACATAAAAAGGTGTATAGTTCTTATTAAAGGATTCTGCTTACCTTTTTTTTCTCAAATTAAGCCATTTCTAGGTTATATGCTGCTTAAAAGTTTTAATTTTATAGTTTAGCAGTTCTGGCTCTGGTTTTTTGCCTTTTTTTTTTTTTTTAATAACATTGTTGCCATTGGAGGAGCCGAGAGTCTCCAGAAATATTTCTTCATATTAACATTTATAAGGTTTTTCACATCTGCTACCTTGTTTTATGTCTGTGAAACTGGTCTTTCTGGTTGCAGACCAGTCTAGGGGGGACCCTCACCCAAATGTTTCTCCCAGCTGTATGCAGTAATACACCTTGAGTTGGGAATAAAAACATAAACTTGTCTGTCCTGTCTTGCTAGCTAGCTGGCTAGATGAGGTAAGAGTCCCCCTCATTAAAACTGAGTCATTTGGGAAGTTAGGTGGAAAACACTCTCCTCTGCAAGCACTTGCCTTCTTCCCACCAGTGTTGCTTCTCACCTCTTGACTTTGTTTTAGCGAAGGCCCCAAGGCTGTTGCAGCTCCACGACCTGATAGGTTGGTCAATCGCTTGAAGAACATAACCCTGGATGATGCCAGTGCTCCTCGCCTAATGGTTCTTCGTCAGCCAAGGGGACCAGATAACTCAATGGTATGAGGACATACAGGGTTTCAGGGCTGGGGGTGGCAGGCAAAAGGACAGACCAACATACTGCTTGAGGTCCTATTTCAGCATATCTCGAGAGCCTAAGGAGCTTCAGTATTGCTTAGAACTAGTTAGGACTTGGTGCACATTGGTTCAGCCCCCAACTTTACCATTAGGAGCACATTTATTGGTTTTCCTGATAGTTTGAACATAGCTTAGATAATAGATCAGGAGGGCTTAATATAGATTTCCTGAGGGAAAGAATTGGTGGTGGCGAAGATTCTGAAAAGTAGTGCTTTTGGAATTGTGAATGTACTGTGATTGTCATGCGCTCCAGTCATTAACTGCAGTTTTATTTTTCACAGGGATTTGGTGCAGAAAGAAAGATCCGTCAGGCTGGTGTCATTGACTAACCACATCCACAAAGCACATCATTAATCCATTATGATCAAGTTGGGGGGATTCTGGTGAAGGGTTCTGAATATCTCCCTCTTCATCCCTCCCAAAATCTGGAATACTTATTCTATTGAGCTATTACACCAGTTTTAACACCTTCCTCGTGTTATGTTTAAAAAAAATAAATAAATTTAAGAAAACCATTTTAAAATTATGCACAGTTGCAGCCTGGAAAACTTAAGGTGGCGCCTTATAGTATCAATTTTAGAAGCTTTATTTGGTGCATTTAACGCAACTGGTAATTGCAAAATCCACTTCCCCTGTGTAAGTGAAAAGTATAGACTGTTATCTTGTTGGCCCTATGAAATTCTGCACTTGATATTCAGTATATACTCTACCTTCATTACTTCTGGCAAGGTGTTCGGCCTTAGCACTCAGTTGCATTCTTTCCTGTTCATTATGCTTTAATTCTGAGGACCATATGAGGGTAGAATATATTAAAAATTACAAAAATTTGTATAGGCGAACCATTTCCTTAAGTTGGTGGCCAAATGTTAAAATGTTATTTTTCATATCATTTATAATCTTGTCACAGTCCACTTAACAAAGTTTGGTTAGATTTCAATGAAAATTATCTTCCAGAGTAGTTTTTTTTTCCTGGGATGGGAGGGGGGTAAACTTTACTACAAATAGTATGTATGGTGCAGAATTTCATGCAAATGAGATGTGCCAGCAGTGTGATAATTTAAACGTATTTAAACAGAAACAACAAAAAAGGACAAATGCACAAACTCGCTGCTGCTTAGATCACTGCAGCTTCTAGGACCCAGTTTCTTTTACTGATTTCAAAACAAAACAAAAAAATAAAAAAGTTGTGCCTGAAATGAATCTTGTTTTTTTTATAAGTAGCCGCCTGGTTCCTGTGTCCTGTAAAATACAGGCACTTGACCCTTGGTGTAGCTTCTGTTCGACTTTATATCACGGGATTGGATTGGTCTGATTTCTTGGCCCTCATCTTGAATTGGCCACATACAGGACAGGGTCCCTGGCCAGTGGACTGAAGGTTTTGTCCACAAGATGACAAAAGGTCAGCTCAGGGGATGTGTGGGAGGGCACTTTTATCTTCCCCATTGTCATTTGAGTTTTTGATCTCTGGGTAAAGAGGCCGTTTATCTTTGTAAACACAAAACATTTTTGCTTTCTCCGGTTTTCTGTTAATGGCGAAAGAATGGAAGCGAATAAAGTTTTACTGATTTTTGAGACACTAGCACCTAGCGCTTTCATTATTGCTAACGTCCTGTGTGGGGAGGGGCTGGGGCTGGGTGCGGCCTCTCGCATGACTCCTGTCTCAGAGGCCCACGTGGCCGGGGCGGGGACTGGCTCCCCCGGCGCCGACTGATTACGTAGCGGGTGGGGCCGGAAGTGCCGCTCCCTGGTGGGGGCTGTTCATGGCGGTTCCGGGGTCTCCAACATTTTTCCCTGTTGTGGTTCTAAATCCGTTGGCAGCGGAGGCACCGGAGCTTGAGGTAGGGCTCTGGCGGGTGCAGTGTTCGGCTTCGGAGCGTGCATGCGACTCGCTGTTGGCAGGAATCGAGCGGAATCTGCACGCGGGAGACAAAGGCCCTGGGCGGGGATCCTTCGTTTGGATCCCTACGAGAGGGAGATTTGGAGACAGGCGGGGGACTCTAAAAGGGGAACGGCCTGGAGGCAGCCCCCACAAAGCCGAGAATACTTGCAGGAGCAGGAACAGGGGGTTTCCTTGACCTTAGGCTGACAGCGGGCGGGGCTCAAGGACTGTTGAAAAATAGATGAGGGTGGGGGTAGCTGGGAGACTCTAATCCAGAATTCTGGGGCCCACAGTCACCTGCAAGTGTTTTTGCATTCCTAAATCGCTTTGAGAACCAAGCGGAGGGTCACGTGTGTGAAACATACATTTCAAACTCTGGTTTTACTTGCTATTGATTATAAAAAAGCTTTGAAGTACTGTAGATGTCGCTCGCCAATTACCCCTAACTGCTTATTTCCCACAGGTTCTCGCTGGTGTGAAATGACTGAGTACAAACTGGTGGTGGTTGGAGCAGGTGGTGTTGGGAAAAGCGCGCTGACCATCCAGCTAATCCAGAACCACTTTGTAGATGAATATGATCCCACCATAGAGGTGAGGCCCAGTGGTAGTCCGCCGACCTCTTTCTTTCGTTTTACCTTCACCCTTACCCTTTAGCTAGTCTTTAGATAAAGAAATAATCAGAAGAGAAAGTGGAAAGTTACTTTGAGTACTGCATGCAGTAGTACAATAAAGCTTTCCCTGTTTGTGGATAAGAGTTTATTAGCTGCTGAAGATTTTCTGAAAACAGTAGTTTTTAACAGTTCTGTAAACTTGTAAAATCTGTTGAACTCACTTAGTTTCTTCATATAGGACAGCTCTATTAAAAAGAAACACAGGCCATAGAAAGGGCAATGTCTGAATAATATCAGAATGGAGATAAAGGATTTGGAGATTTGGGTGTAGTGCTATTTTATTTTCTTACCTAATTGAAGCAGTTGAGATTGGGGTTGGACTAGAAAGAATGAGATTTGGAGTCACTGTCTAGGATTTCAGTTTTGTTTGCAACTTAATTATGTGATATCGAGCAAATCACTTAATCACTCTGATTCTCATTTTCCTCGTCTATTACCATAGGCTTGTCTTGTCTACCACACAGGGGTGTTGTGCAAAATCAGATATGTTTAAATTTTTGTGAATGGTAAAGCACTGCATGAATCTGTTGTTTGGGAGGGGGGAGTTCATGTTTTAGATTGGCTTCAATAAATGGCATCTAAGGTCTTTTGATCAGCGGTCCCCAACCATTTTGGCACCAAGAATCGATGCTTCTATAAAAATCTAATGCCTGATGATCTGAGGTGGAGCTGAGGCGGTGATGCCAGCACTGGGGAGCAGCAGATACAGATGAAGCTTCACTAGCTTGCCTGCCACTCATCTCCTGCTGTGCAGCCCGGTTCCTAACAGGCCATGGACTGGTACCCGTCTGCAGCCTAGGGGTTGGGGACTTCTGCTTTAAATAAAAGGTTTTATAATTTTATTCAATTGAGAAATGCCTAACTGTATAGGTTATTTTATTTTAATCCACACCCTAATCCTTAGGAAAAAAACTTTATTTTAGGCTTACTACTTTAATATTAATAGACCCTTTTAATGTTTTTCAGAGTCTAATTTATTGTGGAGTAATTTACATTCAGTAAAATATACAAATCTTGGACGTGGTTCCATAGTGTAGTGGTTAGCACATCTGCTTTACACGCAGAAGGTCCTGGGTTCGCACCCCAGTGGAGCCACGGTCCATGGTCTATGGCCATGCCACCCTGAACAAGCCTGATGTCTGATCTCAGAAACTAAGCAGGGTTGGGCCTGGTTAGTACTTGGATGGGAGACCACCTAGGAAGACCAGGTGCTGTAGGCATAAATAATAATTTTAAAAAATCCATAAATCTTTGTATCAACACCTCAGTGACTTTTTAAATTTGTATACACTCACGTAACCACTCAAATAAAAATATGTACAATTTCCAGTTCCCCAGAGAGTTCTAGCATGCCGATTACAGTCAATAAACTTCCTCACTCTGCCAGGAAATACCCACTTCTCTGACTTCTATTATCATAAATTAGTTTGGCTAAAATCTGTGTTTATAATTTTTATTTTGCTCATCTCCTCAGAACAGCCATACACTTAACTATATTTCATGCTCTAAGGAGTTTTGGCAATGTGAATTCTATTTCAATTTGAAAGTATATAAAAGTCCCACAATGAAGTGAGTTACAGAGAAAACTAGGTCTCATTCTGTTTCTGGAGCCAGATATTTACTGAGTGTGATCAGCTTATTATCTTTGACCTACATTCCCAGAACATAAGTATTAAAATACAAGTAACATTTTTGCTTTTGAGCCAAATTGAAAGTTTTTTTTTTATAAGATCTATGCATGTCTGTCTTCCTGAAGAATAATTATTAACTATCTCTGGAACCTTTAGGAATTTGATCGAGGAATATTTCCCAAAGGTACAATCTGTTAGAAGGAGAAAAATATTTTGGTATTATGACCTTGTCTGAAATAAAAAGTGTTTGTGTGTTTAGTCATAAACACAAGCGACACTAACTAGGGCCAGGTTATAATTGATGGAGGTATGTTTAGAATTTTAAATATACAGTAAATAAATAAGAATGTTCAGTTCATACTTTAGTAAACTACACCATAAACCTAATCTCTAGTCTGAATTCAGTAGAGCTGTCTTGAATTACCACATTTTTTTTTCATCTTTTCCAGGAACAGTGTCCACATTTTCCTTTCTGCAGGCATATAGGATTTGGGGCTTTTTTTAAAAAAAAAAGAGACATTAAGTACTTTCCGTTTGTGATTCTGTATTAGTGGGTTGAGGGGCAAATCAGAAAGACAGAAGTGGACTTGTTTAGGAGCTAATTTAATCTTGGCAATAGCTTTGCACTTCCTGTGGTTTTTAATAAAAATGGAATTTCTTTCCCCGTCGTCCCCACCCTTCACACCCCCAGGATTCTTACCGAAAACAGGTGGTGATAGACGGTGAGACCTGTCTGTTGGACATCCTGGACACAGCTGGACAGGAGGAGTACAGTGCCATGAGAGACCAGTACATGAGGACAGGCGAAGGCTTCCTCTGCGTGTTTGCCATCAATAACAGCAAGTCATTTGCAGATATTAACCTCTACAGGTACTAGGCGTGTGGTGTTTTTCTGACAGGATGATTTTTATGCATGTTCTGAAGCTTTGTGGGGGGAATGAGGATACCACACCAGGAAAGATAGAGCTTTTTTAATTGTGAAGTGTTAGTTTTAGGTTGCTTGACATGAAGAATCTGGGGTTATTGCAGAAAGTTAATACTCAGTTTCCTTATCTGTCACGTGGAGGGTAATAGTCCCTACCAAGATTTGTTGTGAAAATTAAACAAGTTTGTAATTATGTAAATCACCCAGAACAGTGCCTAGCACATGGTAAAGCCTGTGCAAGTGCTCTGCCTGCAGCCTCGCATCGTGGCTTACGCTCCATCCACTTGAAGAATTCTGCACACCGGAACAAACGAGTCCAAAACTGAATTTGGTGTTTTTTTCCTCCTAAACCTGCTCTACTTCCCATTTCCTCTTTGGAAATAATAACAGTACTTCATAAAATGCCCAACAGTTGGCAAACACTTACTAAATATTTGCTGAATTTCTAGAAGCCGTTTTTCTTCTTAGGCTGTCTTATATTATCCTTTAACATAGGCCGCTGCCATCATCCCCCAGCTTGGTTCCACAGCTAGCTAGTGTGATACATTTCAGGTACATGGCTTTGTATGGAATCCAAGGGTAGAGTTTAAAGCAGTGCTGTGCGGTATGGTAGCCACAAGCCATATATGATTATTTCAGTTAATTAAAATTAAATAAAATTTAAAAATCAGATCATTGGCCACATTAGCCACTGACTTTACAAGTGTTCAGTAGCAGCATGTGACTAGTGGATGTAGCTGGACATTGCAGATACAGAACATTTCCCTCATGGTAAAAAGTTCTGTTGGACAGTGTTGGTCAAGAGAATCTAAAGCAAGTTTCCAGACTGCTCCATGGTATGTTGTAACATGTCCCTGGGGGAGTGGTGCCAGCTGGGAGTTCCTGACCCTTTAGTGCCCTTCTAAGAAGGGCAGTTCTGGTGTTTTCTACGTGATATCGTGGACTTCCAGCTATAATTCTGTTTGAAGGAAACATTTGGACACCACCCATCTAGAGAAGAGGCTAGACTATCTTCCACTAAATATTGTCACTCTCAGGGGAGCCTCAAAAAATTTTTTAGAGGCAGCGAACTTTACTTTTTGTACTTCGGACCTTAATCTAGAGTGCGATTCAGAGTTGCCAATTAAATCCAGAGCCAAATTCTTGGGAAGAATGGAGGAGCCTAACAAGGGCACGTGTCAAGATGAACTAGCCGTTTATTTCCGCTAGAAGGCGAACTGGTACCTGGCTTCCCTGTGGCTGCTGAATCAAGTCTAAACCAGTCTCTTCATTATACACGGTCTATTATAAGTAGTTGGGGGGGGGGAGGAGGGAGTGAAACTACTAGAAACTATTAGGCTGGATAAAATTTGCTAGATTCCTTTTTGCCCTAGCTGTTTATTCCTTCCAGAAAGCTTATTCTTACAACATGTTCCCTTTTGTTAGGGAACAGATTAAGCGAGTAAAGGACTCAGATGATGTACCTATGGTGCTAGTAGGAAACAAGTGTGATTTGCCAACAAGGACAGTTGACACAAAACAAGCCCACGAACTGGCCAAGAGTTATGGGATTCCATTCATTGAAACCTCAGCCAAGACCAGACAGGTACAGTGCAGCTTTCAGCATCTGGCAAGGGTATAAGGCAGATAAGTGTGATTGACTGACTAGAAATATCCACATTCTTTGTTACGGGTTTTTAATAGTGTTCTATTTTTTTTTTTTTTTTAATCAGTTTAAACCTAACATGAACTTGTTAATATTCTGGTATGGCATTTTTACTCCCACATTAACATACACAAATATTACTAGAATGAAGATCCTTGATTAAAGATATTTTTATAAACATTTGTCCTTTCTCCATCAACACCAGTTTTGTGTGTTCCGCATTACCAGTTGTCCTTTGATTGAATGTTGTTTTTGTAAAATGTGCCATTTGTATGTCAGTCTGTTAATGTGATTCAGTAAGAATGCTAAATTTAGTGTCATCTTTCTAAACCACTCTATTTTAGCATCTAATTTAATAATCGGAATTTTAAATATATGTAAGAAAGTACAAATGAGAGAGAGCTTACAACTTGAATTGTCTGTTAAGCTGTCTTTATCATTTTCTTCCTTTTCTAGGGTGTTGAAGATGCTTTTTACACACTGGTAAGAGAAATACGTCAGTACCGAATGAAAAAACTTAACAGCAGTGATGATGGGACTCAAGGTTGCATGGGGTTGCCTTGTGTGGTGATGTAACAAGGTGAGCGTGTGCTCTCTTGACGTAATTATAAATCATACTATTTAGTATCAGACATTTTGGAGGAGTGTTGCTGTTATTTTTTCTATGTTGTTATTTAACTGAGAATCTCTGCTTACTTACAACTATAAAATATTTTCCTTATGGAACCCTTTATCTGAGAGTATTGAGCTCTAAACAATTTTTAAAACATGTAATTATTTTATAGACATTAAGTTTTCAGTGATATTAGAAATTAGAAGACATTGTTTATGAACTGTATGTATATCATGTTCTTGGCGCTGACCGGGAGTTTGAAGAATCCCTACATCTGAACTGCATGGTAATGACGTGGTGTGTGTCCTTCTCTTACAGATAACTGTTAAAGTTCTAGCATCAGAAAAGAGCCACTGTCAAGGTAGGACAAGTTTGGAGAGGAACGATTTATCGTTCATGTTGATTTCTTCACCTTGTTTTCCTCAGACTCTCTGGGTGACATTGACATTCACACACAAATTCTGCCTTCGTTTCAGCTGCACTGACACCCGCCCTGGTCCTGACTTCCTGGAGGACACTCCCCCTGTCGCCCTCTCCAGTCTCACAGAGACGCGCCCGCTACTTCCCCAGCTCTCGGTAGATCAGCGCAACATTCTCGGAATATAACTACCTCCTCACTTGTTTGTCTGACAGAGAAATGAACCTCATTCCTCCCGAGTGCTTTTCCACCCTGGGTTCTCCCCAAACACACACACCTCTGCCACCCCAGGTTTTTCATCTGAAAAGCAATTCATGCTCTGAAACAGAGAACCAAACTCGACATGAAATTCTGTAGAAAACAACGTCTTGATCTCTAAAGTAGCAAGTGCTGGTGGTTTTGTTTTATTTTTTTTCCTTTTTACTGTTGAATTTGGAACTATGTTGGTTTTTGGAGAAATGTCATACATTACTGTTCTGCTGAGAATATAGTTAATGTTGCTGTTTGGTTGGTTTGTAACGTTAGCAGCTCTATAAATTGGCATCTGCTCTGTATCCGTAAATACATAAGCGAATGCAGACCTGAGTCTATCCCAGCCTTCTCGACTTTCATGCAATTAAATCTAACTTTCACAATGAAGTGCCTTTTTCCTAGAAGTGCTTCGTAGACTTCCTTTATAGCACTTCAGTGGGATATATGTCTCAAAAACCATTATACATGGAAATGAATGTCTGAGATATGTGTGTGATGTGTCTACCTTTGAGGGAAAGGTATACCGATAGGTAGCAGATGCCATTTCTTACGTGTGTGAAGTTGGCTTTCCATAGACTTGTTTTTAGGCTCTCTCATGAGAAAGATGAAACTGGAAACAATTATAAGTAATTTCTCTTAATTTTTACCTATGCTTCACTTTTTTGTGTGTAGGTTACTACCTACAAAATGTATGTAATTTGTTTCTTCCAATAAGATAATCTAATGTTCAATGAACTTCCATTTGTATTTAAATTTGGGTCATATCAGAAAGCTCAGAAGGTGTTCAAAACTAAAAATTTGATGCCCTTTTATTTAATAGCTGTGATGAATGATTTTTCAAGCCTCAAACATATGAAAAGACCCATTTTCACTGCGTATCATGTATCATGGTATCTTAATGATGTGTATAATTGCTCTCAATCCCCTCTCACCTCGCCGCCCCCCCCTCCGCCCCCGTTCCTCACCCCACAGCAACTGCAGTTTGATTAATTATTTCAGTTGAGTAAAGCGTGGTGCTAATAGACCAGGGTCACAGTTTCAAAACTTGTGGGAGCCAGTTAGCGTCACAGAGGGAGAAATTCTTCCACATTTGCTCATTGCACCGGTAACTCCAGCTGGTAGTTTTGCCAGGTGTATGGTGTTAGTCCTGCAGGAAAGAAGAGATCAGTTAGCACAAATCCTTTACCACGACTGCAAAAACTTGGTATCCTGAGGAGCGTCAGCTTAGAGTCCTTATAAAGTATCCAGACTTTTTTTTCTTTTTTGCCACATGGACACTCTAAATTAAGCCAATATTTTTTCTCACTATGTTTTTGAGAATGAGAGTACCTCAGCTCAAAATTTAAAAAATTTTTCTTTATCCATCATGTCCTTTGAAGGGTTTAAAACAGCATGTTGATTAATTTAGTCAGCATATGACATAACATGATGAGCTTGTTCAGAACAAGAAGTAACCTTTGGACTGTAATTTCTGTTTGAGAAGGGAGTGGGAAATGTAATTACTTATTAGTTTTGAGGTTTTAGAGACTTGGCTTTTTCATTTGCAGATAAAACCCTGGTAATTCTAATGAAAAATAGGTTTAGATAACTTTTGGTTAAAGACTAGTTCCAAAATGGCCACTTTCTCTTCTGGTCTAATATGTAAATACCTTACTGCATCTTCTAATATGAATTTTCATTTATTAAGCAAAGTCCACATTGCCTTGAAATGAATTCAGAAGAGGAAAAGAAATCTACACTGTGCCCAGAGTCTAATGAAACTAGAGTGTTAGCATAAATTTTGAGATCTTCCACAGTGCTGTCAACACCTGCAAACAGAAACTCTCTGCTGCTTTGTTTCTGCCCTTTTAGAGCATTGCTCTGTGATTTTTCTTGGGGCTGGATTGAGGCTTGTCACCTCAGTTGTCATCATTGTTGTCTTGTTTATGTGACTGACAGCGTGACTCTTTTTCTCATGTCCCCTTAGCCCTTGTATGGATGTACATTACGGTTTTCTCAAATATGTCGTAAGCACAGAAGTATCTAAATGGGGCCAAAATTCAGACTTGAAAACTGCTCTTTTCCTAGCTTAAGAAGTTAGGTGTGAATTTTGGCGCAATAGAGTGACGAAGTTACAGTTGAATGCTGAATCACTTCAGTTAGTGTGGTTTTTAGAATATGTATGTAATTGCTAAAACAATTCCAGCTTACCTCAGAATCTGAAAGTCTCTTTGCCCCAGTTAAGTGCCTGGCCAGCTGTCGTAAATCACACATTGCTTTGTTTGTTTCTTAAGGTCGCATGTTCAGGAGTATGAAAATAAGATGTTCTGTCTAAAGGCCACTGTGCCTAATCTGTCATGTGCTGTCTTTGCTCCAGCAGCTCCCTATAGAACGTTACTTGGTGACATAATGTTATACTTCTTACAGTTTTCACTTCGGGAATGTCATGGGTGAGATTATTCTCAGTATGTATTTTAGTGGGCCCCGTGTTTAGTCAGTCATCATCCTTTTAAACTGCTGTGAATTTTTTGTCTTGACTTGAAAGCAAGAATAGAGAAACACTTTAAAGAGATATTTTGTGTTTTTTTTTCCCATTCCAGAATTTGTGAGCATAATCATATTTTGCTTTACATTTACAGTCACGAACTCTTAAGCTGGCAGCTACAACCAAGAACCAAAAAAGTGGTGCATTCTGCTTCTTGTAATTCATCTCTACTAATAAATTACAAGAAGCAAAGATAACTAATTAGGGAAAATATTTTATTTGGGTGGTTTCTATAAACAAGGGACTATAATTCTTGTACATTACTTTTCATCTTTGCTGTTTCTTGTTCAATGTGCCACAAAATTATTTTGAGGTGTTTCCTATAAGAATTGTTTTAAAAGTGTTCTTCATATCGGAGTAGTTGTAGATATATTTCACAATATTACTGGTGATTTTTAAAAGCCTGAGTACTGACCTAAGAAGCGATGATATGAATTCTACTCTGGAGGGAAGGGATGATCTCAATGGATATTGTATGACTTTTATATTTTTGTGCCATCAAATATAGGTAAAATTATCAATTGTGCAATTCTGCTGTTTAAAACGGGAACTCTTGGCCTCCTTGGCCCTAAATGAAAGGGCTGACATTCTAAGTTGCCTATTTTATTGTAAATTAATCCATTCTAATTTTTAAAAATTTGGTTGAATGTTTTTCTTGTTCAGTGTTTAAAAAATAAAAACTGGAAGTTCTTTGCTTAGTTATAATTTGTTTCCAACTGAAGTGCCTTTATTGAAAGTTAATATTAATTTCAGATTTGGATGTGACGTTTGGATATTTGTTGGAAGATCAGAGTTCCTCGTTTTATCTCAATATAAAATATGTCAGAGCCTGCTTTAAATTATTCCCCTGGGGACAATTCATAGGCATGAGTTGTAGCTACATGGCAGATTCTCTCACGCTAACATGACGTGTTTAAACAACCATGGGAGGTCTTCATCTCATCTTTGTCTTCCATCTAGTCGACCAGTCTTGGTACAGTGGATGAGCATTGGTCTAGGAGTCAGAGAACATGGGCTTCAACTGTAATTTTACTCTTCTGGCCCATGGTTTCCTCATTTGCAAAATAGGGAAGTCGAATTAGCATATCCCAACTATTTATAAAAAAATAATTTCAAACATAGACTTCTCCGCCTAACACTGGAATACTGTAATTATGAGGACATTGGTTTATTCTCCCGAAGACATCAATTTTTTTTTGTTTTTTCTTTAAAAGTAGGGCAAGGAGGGAGATTATTAATATTTGACAGAATTAAACAAGAAGATTCGTCATTCAAGTGACAAATACTGTTTCTACATTGGGCTACTAGAAAGAGTATAAATGTTTTAGATTGTAAAATGGATGCGACAGTCATGGACTGTGTATCTAAAACAGATTTCCCCCTTAGATCAGTCATCTATGTCTCATATCAGATACTTTGTTCTACTAATATTTGACCCCCAATAAGTGAGAGGAAAGGATGTTTTATTCTGGAGATAGCTGCTATTCTGCTTGACAAAATGAAGCTACAGGGAGACAAACGAAAAAGTAGCTAAAGAAGCTTGTTTACTTGATATGAGGGGACCTCTTAGGTGCCTTTGTTAGGGTTTCTGTTCTCATCACAAGCGATACTGAAGGTCATTAAAAGGCCAACATAGTTGCGTGAGTTATTTGATATCCATAAATACATGTAAAGGGGCCAAGAGGCTGTATGAGGGATCATTTTGCAAAGCTGCTTGAGAGACATTCAGAGAATGTCCATCTCCATGACTTGAGAGCACAGAGAGAGAGAACATCTAGGATCCAAGTGGGAGGGATATGCTTGGCGTGCTTTCAAAATAACTGGGCAATGAGACATGGTCCAACACCTTAGTCAAAGAATACTGGAACTTTAGGAACATAGAAAATACAGGTAACAAATGCCCTGTGCAGTGCCAGAAGGGGCAGAGGTTCAGATTCCTGGCTGGAAGTAGACCTAGAGAATTGATCATTCTCTGGAGACTGAATTGATGACTTCCTTCACACTAGCTCCAAAACAGTTTCTTTATTAACCTACCGGAGGAGGTGGGAGGCATGTTTTCATCTTAAAAGAATGAACTTAATCTCTTTAAAGCCAGTGTAAATACGGATTACCACGAATTTGTAAGAACCACGTAGAACAAGGCAGCACCTGCTATACTGAGGGCTAATATCAAATGTTTCTAAAGATAGAGGCAGCTACATGCCTAACGGGAGGACATGGTTGGAACTGAGCAGTTGCTACTAGAGCCTTTAGATGCAGGAGCCTGAAATATCCAGGTTAGGAAAAGCGATCTTCTAGAATGGCTGCTGTGCAAGTGGGGAAATTGACACTATCGACACTTGCTGGAGGAGCTCAAGCTGTTTGCATTACGTGTGCTATTTAAGTACGAAAGAAAACTTGCACTTTTTGAAAAGCGTTTTAGTGTAAATCAGTTCTCCACATTTACACCTGAGACCCGACATCCCTGGCATGAACTTTTTTTTTTTTTTTTAATCAATGGAACAAAGTGAAAAGATCTTGAAAATTAGATCAAGAAATCTTAAGTTTATGCTCATTTTGCCTGTAAATTTGAGGAGTTTGACATTTAATATTAAAGTCCAAAATGAAACCCTACCATGACACGTGAACTGAAATTACCAAGGTCTGTGCCCCTGTCATCCCATCATTCTGTAGCTACTGTGACATTTCCTCTCAGAGAACCACATTTGGATCCCGCTGTGAGGCATAGCCATGTGCCCTTTTGTTTCATTGGCTCAGTACATCTTCCTTATGAATCTTCCTAATTCATTTGGGACGTTTTTATTGAGTACTTACTATGTGCCTAGGCCTGGTGCTGCTCTGGACATACAGCAGTGAACTAGATGGACAGTGGCCCCTTATTCATCTCTTACATTCTGTTGAGAGGATCTCTAAAACAGAATTTCTTAGCTGCAGTTTGGTGATCGCTTCAGCAGAGAAGGACATTGTTTACTCTAAGCAAGCGACGTAGATAGCTTAGCCTTACTGTTCCAGCTGCTGCCTTCTTGACACTGCCCAGGGTTGTCACCTTCCCAATTTTTCTCAACACTCAGGGCTACCCAAGATGCACCAGAAACTGTCTTGTGCCTCACTGCCACCTGGGTCTCTTCTTTCAAAGCTATATATCGCTTCGCAATTTCCAAGTGCTCTCACGTACCTCATCTAATCCATAACAGCCATGTAAAACAGAAATGGTCTTCATTTTACTGATGAAAAAAACAATCCACTACAAAAGGATGGATTGATTCTAGATTTGAACCCAGTTCTCCTGATCTTAGATCCTTGCTCTTTTTGGTTCACCAGTAGTTTTCAAACCATGCCGCTCAAAAGCTGTTGGAGTGTCATAAGGGAGATATTCAAGAAAGTCTGAGCGGGCGGGGCTCTGCTTGTCCTCCCTTGCCGCCTCCTTCAACGAAGCAGTTCCACTTTCATCTGGCTTTTATTTGAGGCTTCCATTCAAGATTGAGTCCGAAGATTCCATAAGTAAACATTTGAACACCAGTTCACCCATCTGCTCCAATCACCTATCAAGCTGGGGGGCACTATATCACATCCTCATGTCTAGTCCAGAACCCATCTAGGCCGTCATGGTCAGTGCACAACTAAGCAGTAGTATTTCTCACACAGTGACCCCCCCCTCTGGAGCCAGAATACCTGGGTTTAAATCTCTCCTCTATCACTTACTAGCTGTGAGACCTCAGACAAGCCCGTGTCTTATGCTTGAATTTCTTCAACTGTAAAATGGAGATAATAGTTTCTCAATTTTTATAGTAATCGTTCCTCAATTATAGTTCCTCAAAAGACTTTTATTGTGTAATTTAAATAAATTGATATATGTTCTAAAAAAAAAAAACAAAAAACTTGGAACAGTGCCCAGCGCTGTTACCGCAGGACCCTATGGGATGCCTTCCTCTCTCCTAACAATGCAGCACACTGGTGAAGTCTAGATTGTTTTGTTAACAGCAAATTTGCTGAATTTCAGTTCCATTCAAGAGACAGGAAATAAAGCTAGTTTGTCTCATGGAAAAGGATGAGTCTTATAAATTTGACTTCTTTATTTTTAGGCATGCCTGGGAAATGATTACCGACAGGATGATAAAACTGAATCCAATAAAGATACCATAAAATTCCACAGGTTTAGTTACACTCCAAACTGAAAATCATTCATTGCATGTAAGACTTGTTATCATAGGGTGACAAAAAAGTCCACAGTTGATGCCAAAGAGCTGTATTCCCAAACCGGAAGTGAAAATGAACTCAGAACTGCGTGCGCACACACACACACCACCCAAGCAATGTAACAAAGGATTAAGCTGAGCCTGAAAGTTTGCTAATGACAGTTGGTGTCTCTGAACCATGAGTGAATGAGGGCTGTGACGGGGGTAGGGTGAGGGCCGGGTTGGAAAGGTGGGGACCTCCCAGCGGGGTTCACAGCAGCGAGGGACACCTGCTGTCCCAGGGTAGAGGGACAGAAGCAGCCAGGCGGCAGTGATCTCCTGGGCACAGCTCCTTTCTGTTAAGTGTCTGTCATCTCCCTGTAGAGCCTCAGGTCACAGGTATCTCTAAGGCAATAGAATATCTGAAATCTCCCCTTTAAAACACACACACACACACACACACACACACACGCATACACACACACACACAAAGAGCTGTAAATTTATTTGGAGCTCTGAATAATAAATGTTCCAAATGATGGTTAGATGCCTAGATGAGAATAGTCACATTAACTATTTTTAAAAGACAGTGAAAATAATACTGTTCTTTTGCTAAAAACTAAAGCAAAAAAAAAAAAAAGTATTAAATGAGTCTAGTTTATATTATATACTGATGCTTGGAGAAAAGCAAGATTAATTACAGAAAATGAATGAGTCAAGAGAGATTGTCCCATTGAAGGAAATTTCTGAGTGTTTTCCCTTAAGGACTGTAGATGATGGTAGGATGAATTTGTTTTGTTTTGCTTTAAAGTCAGGCTTTTTTTCCCCCTTGTGATTGAAATAATACTTGTTCATAGTAGAAAATGCAAATAAACCAAAAGAAAGAGTTTAAAAATCACCATCAATCGACTACTCAGACAGAATACTGATATAAGTTGCCTAGACTTGTTTTCTATGTGTAGAGTGATATATAAATTAAATGCCCTTTTTCTTTTTGCAAAATAAGATTATATAATTTATACATCATTGCAATGTGGTTTTTCACTTAATAAAAAAATTGTTAGTGTTTTTATGTTAATATATATTCATCTATGTCATCACGTTAATGACTAATAGTATTTTGTATTACGGTTGTGCCATACTTTAATCAATCTTGTATTGCTCACATGTTGGTTGTTCCTACTTTTTGCTTCTTATAATGGTTTGGCTACAATTAATAGTCTTGAAATACATCTTTGAGTACTTGCATAATAATTTCCTTAAGATAAAGTCATAAAAATGAAATTGTATTAATGGATATGCATATTTTTAAGGTTTTTGATAAATATATTGTCAAAAGGCTAAAATCTTAAAACTTCTACTGACCACATATGAGTGTCTATTTTCCCATATACTAAACATTGACGATTATCAGGAAACTGATTGTTTTTTATAATCAAATACACTTCAGATTTTATGGAAAAACAAAAATAAACTTGATTTTTAAAAAATACTATATATTGGAATATTTACAGTGTAGAAACTCTTCAT